GTGGAAAAAACAATTCATCCGAGAATTGGTTGGCAAATCTGCCGGAAACCATTTTTTTCGACAGGTCACAAACCCATGGATTTCCACAGATTTCCCGTTGATTTTCCCAACAAAACCCATGTTTCATGACACCACCGCCACAAGACTCACCAAAGTGATGGCCATCTTGATCTCTGCTCCAGCATCCGTCATGGCGTGGCCCCAGACTCGAAGCGGCGGCGAAAACTGAGCCGCACTGAGCCGCTGAATTGGCTACGGCAAAGGGGGTCCTGTGGCTGCGGCTACAATGCTGAAAACCAGAAAAATAAACATGTGGAAAGTTCACCCGGTTATAGATGCAGATCAATAAATACATACATCAATATATATATATATATATTATACTATATATATATATATTACTATATAAATATATATATATATCCATATTACTATATATATATAATATATATATATATATATAATCAATATTACTATATATATATATAAAAATATGTGTGTGTGAGCGTTCTTCATTTAAAAATGTATGTGAATTATGTGTATATAAACATATGTGTACAATATGCATGCATGTAAGGTGCATATCTAAGAATGTGTATATATATATATATACAATACATACATGTCATAGAATGCAAAATACACATCATGTTCTTAGCCAAGGCCATCTAACACCGATGCACGCTGAATGGGCAGTGACTACATACAGGACACGAAGAGTCATGAACAATCATAACCTAGCAACTACTCAACCTCATTGAGGTGGCCTAAGAGCAAAGTGTAAATAACATGATAGGGCAAAAGTAAGATAGGATAATCCAAGCAAGACACACTGGACAGGTACTAAGAGAATATGACGTCAGGCCCCCCCCCCACCTGGCAACTGTTGGACGTGGGGCCCCAACATGTTTTTCTCTGGGTTGATCTTGTAATATTATTTGAATTGTCTTAATCATCTTTGAACTTTTGCTGGCAATTATATCCGCAAAATGTTGAACGTGTTTGACGTTGTTAATTTAAAAAGCATGTAATTCAAAGAAACAATCTGAATAAATGTCATTTAACTAACTGATAGATAGAAAATAACCTTCAACCGTAAAATAACCTAATAGTTAGGAATTAGCCTAACCAGAGCTTCAGGAGACAAAGGTGCTTCAGGAGACAAGTGTTGCATGCTGGCAGCCACAGGTGTTTTACCTCAGGCCCTGTGATGTTATTTTATATACATACTGTTGTGGGTGCCATCTCCGTCCTGTTTGATAGCCCCTCAGCTGTCAGTGAAGTTTGTGGGTTAGCCCTCAAAAAATAACATGCTCCCAACAAATAAAATGCTGGGGTCTGATCCCGTTTTATTTCAGAACTCGTTCGGATTTGCTCGATTTTTTACTTTTCTAGGGGCTCCAGCCCCCCCATTCTCTTGGTCTCTTGGGGCACACGATAGGAGGATTATAATAATTATAATACATATAATCATACATGTGATATGATATGATATGATATGCTATGATATGACATGACATGATACGGTAATGTGTTTTTTGTTGGCTATGATATTGCATCAGTGAAATATAGTGAAATTATATCCCAATTTATCACCATCTACATGACTTTTATGGCCGGTTTCATGCACATAAACCGTAGGCATTCTCTAATGCATCCCCTACTGCTCCGCTCCGCCTGCACCGTGGGGCTCTGCTCCGCACGGCTGTCACGTGAGTGGTTGTCACTTCATTTTCCGGGGGCGTATCAGCTTGAGCCACACGCCGCACAGGTTCGTGGGAAAAAGGGAGAGGTGGTAATGATGAACCACCCCCAGAATCACCATAATTATGTGAATGGGTTGTACAAACCACCCCACATGGTAGGTTTACTATTGGGTTTACCACATCACCCCCAATTCCGACGAGTTTTTTTCCAAGTATCAAGCGAAATGGGATAAAATTAACATCTCGCATATTGCCAGCATCTTATTGGGGCTCCGTAATGGGGCACTATATCCGTACAAAGAAACTGAAACTAGCATTCTGATTCTTCTTTTTCGCTTACATAAATGATATAAATGGCAATCTTAGGGTGCATACCGGGCAAGTCACCCAAAACAAGATGTGAACATCGCAATTCAATTTTGAAATCACTAGCCTCAGTTTCAGTGCCCACTTTGTAGGCTGTATTCCCAGTATACATCTGAAAAAAAAGGTCGGAAACCCTGGTACCCCCTGGTAATCAAACGAGGACATGTACATATTTACACAATGATTACAACAAGAAGCTAGAAGTGGACATGACTTGTGGGGTTCCGTAGCAGCCATTAATTATTTGCTATAAAATTGCCAAGTTGGGCAAAAATAATCCTATCATATCCCATCTCACTTGAACGGTTTTGCAACAGAGCTACTCTCCATGTATTAACTTCAGTGATCATCGAAGTACTTACTCATGTTTCATTTAACGAGCCGATCATTAACCATGGGCATCCACAGGGATAACCCAAATACATCCAAAAGAAATGTTTGTTTGTCTAGCTATAGCTATGATCTACCTCCATTTTGCCAAGACGTGTAGACCATCAATGGGTATATATGCCATGGCCAACTTTTTCTGGATACCATGATACACTGGTTTTCGTTGGCAATAAACAACAACCGAATACGGTAAATAATGTGATAATCTGATATACCAGTATCAACTTGGTCAAAACACCTTTGAGAAACAGTATCATCACTTGAACTACCCATCACCAAGGGTTCCCTCTGCCCGCAGTTTCCCCTCTTGTTGATCTTGCCGGGCACCGAACTAAAATTTCGAGGCGCAGCACTTCAGCCTGGAGAAATCTCCAAATCAAATGGAGTTTCTAATGGGAAAGGCATCCATAAAATTTTATACATGGGGTCTGAACCAAACTGTTGCTTCAGCGGGTTGGTTTTTGGGAAAATCTTCACCAGAAAGCATGTTTTTCCCCACCTGCCAGGTGAGGGTTGGTAGATTTTATGTCAGTTGCCTGCTCCTCTCCTCTCCTCCTCATCTCCTCCTCCTCTTCCTCCTCGTCGTCCTCCTCCTCGTCCTCCTCGTCCTCCTCGTCCAACTGCGACCCGCGATCCACAGTGTTCCCTGCCGGACCTCAAACGCGAGTATCCCCGCCCAGTGTTCCCTGCCGGACCTCAACCACGACCATCCACGCCCAGTGTTCCCTGCCGGACCTCAACCACGACCATCCACGCCCAGTGTTCCCTGCCGGACCTCATGCCGGACCTCAACCACGACCATCCACGCCCAGTGTTCCCTGCCGGACCTCAACCACGACCATCCACGCCCAGTGTTCCCTGCCGGACCTCGTGTAGGAAGATAAAATGTCAGATAGAGTGCCAGAAGATTTGCCAGGTAGAATGCCAGAAAATATGCCAGAAGATATGCCAGATAGATATGCCAGAAGATATTCCAGAAGATATTCCAGATAGAATGCCAGATCGAATGCCAGATAGAATGCCAGAAGATATGTCAGAATATATGCCAGAAGATATGCCAGATAGAATGCCAGATAGAATGCCAGAAGATATGTCAGATAGAATGCCAGAAGATATGCCAGATAGAATGCAGAAGATTTGCCAGATAGAATGCCAGAAGATATGCCAGATAGAATGCCAGAAGATAGATAGAATGCCAGAAGATATGTCAGATAGAATGCCAGAAGATATGCCAGATAGAATGCCAAATAGAATGTCAGAAGATATGTCAGATAGAATGCCAGAAGATGTGCCAGTAAGAACATGTATAAATGTCATGGTGGGGATCACACGAAGTAAAGTATTTTTATTGGGCTTTCTTGTGATGTTCCTTCAAACTAATTCTCAACCCTGCCATGATTTAGAATGTGACATACATTGACATACTAAACGCAACAAAAATCTGATGCCTTTCTTTGGAAGGCTTTTCTCCCATACTATGCCATATATGCCATTGAACCTGGTAATCACTGGCAACCTTTACCTGCGACGTTTTTTCTCACCGCTTTCTACGCGGTCGGCCCATCTCAGCCGCAGCAGCTGGAGCTTTTGGAGACCTTGAAGCGGTAGCCTTTGGCCTCGCCGACATGCCCATTCCCCTGGACTCACTGCATGGATGGGGCATGCATAATGATCTATGGGCATTTTATGATATGTTACCGGCTATGGGAATCAAATGGGATCGGATTATCACGAGATTATCATGGGTTGATCGGTTTCCCCAGGCTTAGCTTTCAATGGGTTGGTTGAATCCGTTGGAAACCAAGTTGTCTTTTCAGATGTGAGGGTTTTCTGCACATCATAACATCATTTGATTTACAACTACAACATGTTGGCATTCATCAAGAATATAGTGATTAAAATACGTTTAAAAACATTTTTAAACTCCAACAAGGAAGTCGGGATTGCTATCAATGGATTTTAGAAATCGTCATCCGGACACTCCCTTTCAGGATGAAAAGAAGTAATGAATGGTAATGGCAAAGTATAAAGGATGTTTTATAGTTTGTTTGGAAAGCCCAATGTTGCTTGTTGCACCACATGGTTGATGCCACCACCCAAGAACCATGTTCGCAGCACCTCGACCCTAACACACCCTAACCATTCCCTGTTTTAAGTGTTCAAATTGCAAAGAATGCCCAAGCATGCCAAAACAGCTGTTCTTTGACTGAGGGGATCGCCAAAGTCTGGAAAACCCAAATATGTTCAAACCAAGTTGCAATGTCACCAACACTGACCAACATACTGAACTCTGCATACAAGGTCTGAATGCTGTTCTAAAGTCACCCCACATGGAAACGTCAAATATATTTAATTCCAGTATATTCCAGTCATTGGTTATATAATGTGTTAATTATTTTTACCCGTTGCTGACACTTCCCAACATTCAAGCAACATTCGATATCATTCATGCGCGGGTCGCGAAACGTCTCCAACAGCAGCTGTTGGCCAAATCATCGGCGACTTTGCCCACAACATCACTTACACGTGTAAATCTTATCAACATGGCATCACTTGGTGTTTGAAAGCTGGATAAGCTGAAGAGGCTGAAGACTCAAACCCACCAATTTCATCACATTTGCCCATGAAAAACTGGCCCTGAATCCCTCGGCCGAGGCTATCTCCACCGGGTGCCTCGTTTTCCTCAGCGGTGGCACTCTTCATTGTGCATGCGAAACCCATCTCTGCGCAGGTAGTACCTTGGCTTTGCGCTCACAAAAAAAAACACTTGGGCATCCATGCGGAAATTCTGTCCCCTCAAGAAATCATTTGAAACTATGACCACTGCGATCACAATGCGTTTTGTGATGTTTTGTGTTGTTCCACTAATGGATCCCGTTATAACCCTGTGATAACCTGTCTCTCCAGCTGTGTTTTTTCGGGAAACTCGGAAGAAACCGAGCTGCCAGGGCCCAGAAAGGACTGGCCGCTTTGTTGGCACATCACCTTCACAAACTTCTCCGAGCTTTCGGGAGCGCTAGCGTCCTGGTGAATTTCAGCATGTTTCAGCTCAAAAAGATACACAGATACACAATGATACACAACTACTTTACTTCGAGTGATCCCCACCATGGCATTCAAGGCATCTATTTTGACATATATATATATATAAATATAATAATATAAATATAATATTATTGTCAATGGAAATGCACTAACCTGATCTAACCTGGCAGCACTGGATGTACACATCGCAATTCTTTGTGGCCGTTTTCTACATTTCGAGCACTCTATCATATTCTATCTGGCATATCTTCTGACATTCTTTCTGGCATATTTTCTGACAGTTTTTTTCTGGCATTCTATCTGGCATTCTATCTATCTGGCATCAGGGCCACTCCACAGCCTCCTCTGAGCTCGCGATGTGGCACCGGGTCCAGGGCCACTCGCAGCCTCCCGACTGAGATCTGGAGCTGGCAGTTGGGAGGAGAAGGCAGGCACGGAGGAGGTCAGAGACTCAAAAAGATACACAAAGATACACAATGATACACAACTACTTTACTTTCGAGTGATCCCCACCATGGCATTCAAGGCATCTATTTTGACATATATATATATATAAATATAATAATATAAATATAATATTATTGTCAATGGAAATGCACTAACCTGATCTAACCTGGCAGCACTGGATGTACACATCGCAATTCTTTGTGGCCGTTTTCTACATTTCGAGCACTCTATCATATTCTATCTGGCATATCTTCTGACATTCTTTCTGGCATATTTTCTGACAGTTTTTTTCTGGCATTCTATCTGGCATTCTATCTATCTGGCATCAGGGCCACTCCACAGCCTCCTCTGAGCTCGCGATGTGGCACCGGGTCCAGGGCCACTCGCAGCCTCCCGACTGAGATCTGGAGCTGGCAGTTGGGAGGAGAAGGCAGGCACGGAGGAGGTGGTGGAGGTAACTCTGATCAAATCTAGAGACCCACCTGGCAGGTGAGGAAAAAATGTTCCTGGTACCGTACCTCAGGGATTTACCTCAAAGTGGATTTGGATCCATAAGGAAACCAGCAAACAAGTGTGAAAACGCCACTTTGGAAGCCAAAGTAAGCAGGGCCGCTTCCAATAGCTTGATTATTGGTCCATCGTTTTAGTTCAAGCCGAGGCAAAGCATCAAAGCCATTCGCAACACTGAAGAACACACTTTGATATCAAATATCAAACAAATAAAAGCTGCGGATAGCTGCGTTCTTTAGCACCTCTATGGGAGATGCAACAGCACATGATGACTTCACAGGTGTAGTTGCACGCTTTAACTGTGCACATTAACGGTTTTCCCATGTATCCCATCTTCAAACCCATATGATTTCATATGAATTCATATGATTTCATATTTCATATTAATATGATTTCATGTGTTACTTGTTTTTGAACGCCCGGTCCAACTCCAGGCAGTCTCCAATGCCCATCTCTGTCTTGAGACGGCATCGCTGGTATTGCGATGGTCGATTTTTGGAGTGCTGCTCGCCCATGGGCCGCACGGCGGACACATCAAACACCACAACGGCCAACAAGGCCAGGCGCCACATGATCCCAATGAAAACTGGGGGAAAGCCAAGCAACTCAACTTCTCGAACTTTGAACCAAAACAGCTGGCAGATCTGGAAGTTTGCCAGCAATGAGGCTGGAATGTATCAAACAAAATGAAGTTTGTTAAAATCAGGCGCTCCAAAATCACATGGTATTTCCATGGCAATCATCACATCTCCCCCCTGGAATGTCCCATTGTCAATCCAAGCCAAATAACTTACTGTATCCAATTTCAGTCATCCCAGGACAACGTAACCTTGGACCTACCATTCACATCCATTCACTATGTTTTACCCAGCAATTCACATGTTTTTCTCAATGTCCACATTTTGGATTTGGTAAATCAGCCGGGTTTTGTCTGAAAATGGGCGACCCCTAAAGTTGATGATCAGCATTTCCCCTATGGCCCTATGCAAATAGGGATGTTGTGTCATCACACTTTTCAGACACTTCCATTTAGGTTTACCCACGCACTCGATGTCTTCGCCCCGACACCTGCTTCTTCTTCTCCGCAAGATATGGAGAAACCTCGAGGTGCCTGGCAGAAACTACTGGAGGTGACCATTGTGGGTAGGATCAATTGGAATCTTCGGGCAGGATCTGGTGAAATATCGTGTTTTTCTATTAATTGGCTATTTTAAGAGGTTTCATCTGGCTTATAGATTATTCAAGCAGATTTCGTTTTTTCCCCACCTGCCAGGTGAGGGTTGCTAGATTTTAACAGAGCTCTTCTCCTCCTCCTCCTCCGCCTCCTCCGCCTCCTGGGCCTCCTCCGCCTCCTCACCCGCCGCCTCCTCCTCGCAGTCCAGATCCCAGTGGGCACAGCCGGACCTCCACCGCGAGCTCCAGATCCCAGTGGGCACTGCCGGACCTCAACCGCGAGTTGCAGATCGCAGTGGGGCCGGACCTCAACCGCGACTTCCAGGTCGCAGTGGGCACTGCCGGACCTCAACCGCGAGCTCCAGATCCCAGTGGGCACTGCCAGACTTCAACGGCCAGATAGAATGCTAGAAGATATGCCAGATGGAATGTCAGAAGATATGCCAGATAGAATGCCAGAAGATGTCAGATAGAATGCCAGAAGATATGCCAGAAGATTTGCCAGATAGAATGCCAGAAGATATGCCAGAACATATGCCAGAAGATATGCCAGATAGAATGCCAGATCGAATGCCAGAAGATATGTCAGATAGAATGCCAGAAGATTTGCCAGTAAGAAAATGTATAAATGTCATGGTGGGGATCACACGAAGTAAAGTAATTTTGGTCACGACAGTGACCATCGTTCATGGTGACGTGTTGGGTTGAATTCGCAGGTCGAATCTATGGTATGGGAAGGGCGAAGCGACAAGTTACAGTCTGAAACACCTGAGATCGGGTTTTGTCTGAAAATGTGGTGCCTCAAAATCTTACAGTTGATGATCATTGTCCAACTACCCTCCGGTAATCAAACATGGCAAAAGAAAAGCCCCCATTTATCAATGATGTTCCCATTTTCATTTGATATTCGGATGCCACGTTTGATTACCAGAGGGTAAATGGCCATTTATGGACCAACCCCAACGGCAAGCCGGTGCTGGTGAGTGTTGCATGCCGGTTTATTGCAAAAAATATGCAACAACTTCCCATCCGAGGTTTCTTCAACTTTTTGACGTTTGAATCTCCAATATGTCCATTATCTTGTCTGTTAAACACTTAAACCTTCATCTTTGATCATGAGAATCCCCGCCCAGAAACATATTGAACTTCTGGAACCTGGCTAAGTTAGAAGGAAACATGTTTGTCGATCGCAACCCCAAAAAGATCTAAAAGGTACAGTAGGATTAAAGAAAAAAACTAGCAATGTTTTAACACCTATCATACTTTAAACCATCTTGATCAGGTATAAATACGGTATAAACATGTCAAAACGATTAAAAAGTACATTTTACCAATTTGATACCAATTTGTTGCAGTAAGTTTGTTTGTTTACCCCTTTCTGATCTTTCTGCATCGTTTCACATTTTTTGATTCTTTTGAGGGGGTTGCAGCAACCTATGAACTTACCAAACCAAGATTTACCCCGGAACTGTACTCCCCCCGCTTAATCGAAACATTGCAGGAAGTCCCAGTTCCTCCTCTCCTGCCGTTTCTTTCTTAAGGCACAACCGGCCCCGGCTACGATCAGCGAACCGCCATCCTTTGAGGATGGCAAAAGACGCAGAAATACACGACTGGATGCAGGTTGCGAAGTGAGGCTGAGGTAGAAAGCGAAGTGGGAAATGTACAACTGGTTGGTGCTCGAGCCATCCCTAAAAAAACATTATCGCATTTCTATGGTTAAAATGAAATATGATTGACTCCACAAACCAAACAACGTGAGTGAAAATTATGCTATCATATTTGCAGCTGGGACTCTGTCGGTGTCTCGTGGGAGCATCAACATCATCCAGGATAAACATGCGGAGGAACAAACAAATGCAAAGGTCTAGACATTCTGAGATCATACATATATAATTAAATATATATATATACCCTTAGCATCTAAACCCTTTAAAATAAACAGGTTTGAGTGCAAACATCGGGTTTGAGCATCAACCCTTTAAAAATATCGGGTTTGAAACGAAAACATCGGGTTTCTACTGAGATCTGTATCTTTGAGATATTTTGATGATTTAGATCCCAATGGTTATCTCCGGGCCCCCGCACATGCCCAGGCGCTGCAGGATGTTGGGATCAAAGATGATCACGATGGGTTGGATGCTGGATTATGGGAAAATATCATCGATTATAACCAATCCATTTCAAGTAGTATGAAATTAGATCAATCCTGATATCACTATAGATCAAGGTGCCAAAACTCTTGGGATGAGATGCCAAGAATGTTTACCAAGTTTGGCTTTTACCATGTTTCACTTTTCATTTCCCAACAAGAATTGTAGTGTCCAATGACGCCGCAACTGTGCCCAGCTTTTGAGCAATGCGAGCAAGCTCAAAGTCCACTGGCCAGCCGGGTATCCCAGACCTGTGAGAGGCTTGGGCGCTGCTTCACTGGCTCTTTAATGCAATTCCGCTGGTATGTTGTATGAAGGACCGAATACATACTTAATCTGACTTTGCTCTATACACATGGAAATCATCAAACAAGCCAAATGGTTGAACATGTCAGATCTTCAGTGGCTAACCGTGATTTAAGCGGCTCAAGCAGTGCCATCTTGATCTATATTTGAGGATGGCTGGAAACTGCCAAAAAAAGGCTGGTGGCCGTCCCAAGTTAAGTTCACAGGCAGTTCTCCCCATTGATGGCCTTCATCTAGAGTGGGATGCCAACAAGGACATCCGAGATGGCCTGCGAGCTGGTGAGGAGTTGTTGCCAGATGGCAAGACTGAAGATATACCAGCTTGTGTGGCTGCTAGCCTTGTGTTGCAACCACTAATCACCAGGATGAGCATGACTGAGCACAAGCCCTTACCAAATGTTGACAAATTGCGGGATGAGGTGGAAAAGGTTTACCTCGTCAACGAACGTGGTCAAACACCAGAAGACCAGCCTGATGTGATCTCAGCGTCGTGGCGCATCAGGAAGCTCTTAGGATTCCTGAAGATGAAATGCCGCAGAGGGGAAGTATCATCGGTGCCTTTTCTGCAAATATAATTTCTGAAGAAATCAAGTGACCTAAGCCCCAATGGTTCCTAGATGAGTTTTGGGATTGCATCCCACTCGTGCAATTATCCATTTAATGTGTCAAGTGTTGTTGATTATCATCTCATCCCAGGTGCCTGCTTTCCAGCAGCTCTGCATCGACTTGGACAACAGTCTCCAGGATTGCTACCTGCACGGGCAGTGGCATGGGCTCACATTCATGTCTCAACATCTCTAAACTGGCCTAGCCCCTTATTAGATCATCATGCTGGATGGCACTGAAATGTTGGCTTTCGTTATGATTTCATGTGGAACAAATAGATCTATCGATGTCTACTAATTAACTCGATTTGTATGGACTAGACGCGTCATTTTCCCAAGGAGGCTGTGGAAAAGCACAACAGAAAGATCGCAGAGAAAAAGGCACAACGGGCTGCTGCCAAGGCAGGTGCAGATGCCCAAGAGGACCCTGCATTTGTCAAATGCCATTTTGTTCCAATCCAACTCCAAATCAATAATCGATATATCTATATAACTATATATACCCGGACTTTTGACAACTAACTTGTAGCATCCAAAAGAAAGAAAACCATTGCTGCACACCAGGACTCTTCCAGCTCCGAAGATTCTGATGCAAAAGCTAGAGACTACAATGAAGATGAGTCAGAAAGCGAAGAGTCTGAGTCCACACCAGCGGGATCAAAGGAAGAGCCTGAAGCCCCTTCAAAGGTTGAGAACCATGTCACTAACCAGAGTAAACCCGAAGAAAAACCCAAGGATGATAAGGTTGCTATCTCAACTTCGATTCAGGGCGGTGGTTCCAGCACTCATGGGGGTTCAGCGGGTTCAGCATCAACAGAAAAAAGCATCTTTGTTGCATCGAGGTGTATGGTGTGTGATCCACAGTATTGGAAAACGTTTATACATTGACTTTCTAGAAGTTTTGTCGGTTTTGGCCACTGCAGATTTTTGTTAATCAATGTACCAATCATGTTGAAATATGTTGAATACGTTTTCAATATGCATTCATGAGTTACAATCATCAAGGTACAGTGGAGGACTTGCAGCGAAAGAAAGCTGAAGTCTTGCAGAAATTGGCTAAGTTCTTTGGCTTACATGTGTCACCGTAATTCTGGTGCTTGAAGACTTTAAGCTGGTGAAAGTTGCAGCCCAAAAAAATGATCTAGAACCGGCATTTTTCAAATTGTTGAGGTAATCTAACTTGCTCGAGCCCAGGCTTCGAGCTGCAAAATCCAACGCAAATCTTGGGGATTCGTTGGAAAAGCCAGGCACAAGCTGGGACCATGTGGGGGTCGTGCTCATCAGTTTTCACAGGTGCTTATAAGATCTTATAAGTATATTACGCAATAGTACGAA